TCCTGCAGATGGTTCCAAGAATTAAACAATTCTCACTCAAAAAAGTTTGCTCTCACTGTTTTCTGGACTTGTGGCTTCTTCAACCTTAAGCTGTACAGGTAAAAAGTTTCTGACAGGGTGGGTCCGATGACTTCCGAAATTATACGTACAACTCGTGATGTCCCGGAGGGTTGGTATGTGTGTCTTCACCCACCGCCATTCAGTATCCATCACAGAGAGTGAGTTGACATAGGAATAAAATAATCGATCTAGTGATTACTTTCTATAGTATAAGGAGACAACACACATATCCCAATACCTATAGTCTGTGGTCTCATTTGTTTCTCAGAGAGTATGCACAGATACTTTTTTTAGCTACTGTACATTCGACCGAGTAGTGCCCTCTGAGATATTTATACATTTCGATTAGGTCACCCTTTGCAGTTGCAGGCAGTCTAATCTCTCTGGGTAGCTGACTGTCTTATAAGACCTACTGGGGTCGTCCTTAGGAGGGTGCGGGGCCCCGGCAATGCAGCCACTGCGGGGCCCCAGATAATAAATATATATATATATATATATATATATATATATATATATATATATATATATATATATATATATATATATATATATATATATATATATATATATATATATATATAATGTAGATCCACAATGAAAACGTGGATAAGATAAATCTTGATAAAATCACACGTTGTTTCCTCTTTTCCCGTGTGATTTTATCAATATATATATATATATATATATATATATATATATATATATATATATATATATATATATATATATATATATATATATATACTGTATATATATATATACTGTATATATATATATTTTTTTTATATATGAAGGTAAAAAACCACACTTCATGGAGACGTAAAGTTTATTTTAAACACCAATACACTTTCGGCTCATCACGAGCCCTTCTCAATTGGTAATGACAGAGACAGAGAATAATACACAATATATACACGTGGAGGCTGACTGACCCAAGCCGTCTGTCAACTGGGGATAATCTTCTAACCGTACCTTGGCCTGAACCAACCCTTCTTACCTGGGGATTAAATTACCCCATTGACACAGCTTTGATTTGATAGGTGTACCTCTGAAAGTTGTACAATATTTTCAATCTTATTACATATAATTTTGTTAAATGAAAATTGACTATCAGATAGCTTAAAATTTTGTATAGAGCTTATAAGATTTGATTCAACAATCCTACGTTTAACATAATTCAATATATATATATATAAATATATATATATATATATATATATATATATATATATATATATATATATATATATATATATATATATATATATTTCATTAGCCCAATAGCACACGGATTCTCTACATGCCACCACCACCTCAACCCGTTCTCACCCGCCTACGGATACGGGTAGTCCTGATAAGAGGTTCACGGCGCCATAAGCTCGTTGAACAGGCTTTTGTGTGAAATATAACAGAGTCTAGGACTGCTTTTGTATGCTGGTGGTCCAGCGGTTAGCGTTCCCCGGTCACAGTCATGGGCTTGTGAGCCGTCGGTTCGAATCCTGGCGGGTTGAGGTGTTGATTGTATGTAGAAGTCCGCGTGTTCATTTATACGAAATATATATATATATATATATATATATATATATATATATATATATATATATATATAAAATGTGCAGTCATAAAGAAAAGTGTTTAAGGGGCCCCCACAAGCACGGGGCACGGGCGGTCGCCCCTGTTGCCCCCCCTAAAGGACGGGCCTGCCTACTAGTTTCAATGCCTGAGTCACCTTCTTCTCTGGCCCGAGAACTTTAGTTCATAGACGACAAACACACCTAGGTCCTTTTCACATTCGGACTCAATTAATACGTTCTCATTGTCTTCTTGTACTTCATGACATTGAATCCTAGGCAGCCATTTCCTCGACCATTCTTGAAGCTCATAAAGATCTTCCTGCAGCTCTTCACAGTCTGTTTGGTTCTTAATTTCCCTGAATAACTTGGCATCGTCTGCAAATATTGGTATGGAGGAATGTATAGCTTCCGGCATGTCATTTATAAAGCAGACAAACAACAACAGGCCCAATATCCTGTCCTGTGGTACCCTGCTTGTTACAGGTACACATGACGATTTCATACCATTTATCACCACACACGGCTTGTGGTCATGCAGAAAGTCTCCGATCCATGCTAGGACACTTCCCCGAATCCCTTACCCTTCCAATTTAATTCTAAGCGTTTCATTGGACATGCTGTGAAAAGCCTTGGCAAAATTTAGGTATATATTGTTGATATTTCCACCTTGTTCTAGAATTTGAGTCCAAATATAAGAACATAAGAACGTAAGAAAATAAGGAGTCTGCAATAGGCCGGTTGGCCTGTGCATGGCAGCTCCTGTCGAGAGTTACTACCACTCTCTATCATCCATGAATCTATCTAGCCTCCTTTTGAAACTTTCAAGAGTTCCAGCACTTACTACAAAGTTGCTAAGCTTGTTCCACTCGTCCACCACCCTATTTGTGAACCAGTTTCTTCCTATCTCCCTCCTAAACCTAAACTTATCCAACTTAAATCCGTTGCTCCGAGTTCTATCCTGCTCGGATATTATAAGAACTTTATCTATATCCCCTTTATTGATTCCTTTCACCCACTTAAATACTTCCATCATATCTCCCCGCACTCTTCGTCTTTCTAGGGAATGCAAGTTAAGTTTCTTTAACCTATCCTGATATGGAAGGTTTCTAAGTCCCGGAATCATTTTCGTCATTCTTCGCTGCACCGACTCTAGTGAATTGATATCCATTCTATAATAAGGGCACCAGAACTGAACCGCTTAATCGAGGTGCGGCCTGACTAGCGCAAGATATAGTTGCAATAAGACCTCTGCACTCTTATTACTTACACTTCTAGATATAAAACCCGATACTCTGTTTGCCTTATTTCGAACATTAACGCACTGTTTTCTAGGCCGTAGGTCCGGGCTTACAAGTACCCCTAGGTCTCTTTCACAAGTCGACTTCTCTAGGTTGATGTTGTTAAGGCTGTATACATTGTCAGTATTTGTTCTTCCAATATTAAGTACGCTGCACTTGCTGGTGTTGAATTTCATTTGCCATTTTTCAGACCACCCCTGCAGTTTATCTAGATCCCCCTGTAATGCATTTGCATCCTGCCCTGAATTAATCTGCCGCCCTATTTTGGTTTCATCCGCAAACTTGCTTATGTCACTGCTGATCCCAGTACTTTGAGTAATTGTGTTAAGCAGGAGCGTCCTGGCATGTAATTATGTTAGCAGTCCTTTACAGGGCTTTTTCGTAGTAGATGTTCCATTATGGCATCTCTGATAATGCTCTCTAGTTCTTTACACAGTATGCTGGTCAGGCTTACCGGTCTATAATTATTCGCGGAGTGACGATCACCCTTCTTGAATATAGGACTCAACATAAGCCACCTTCCAGTTGTTGGGGACCTTTTGCTCCTTCAGGTATTTGAAGAACAAGATTTTAAGGGGCTCCACAAGCTCATTACACAGTTTATTTAACACTCTACAGGTAGTCTAGGGTGTACCATATTAGGGTTGATGTACCTGTACCTTCAGTAGTGTTTGAAACTTCGCTCTCTTGTCAAGAAACGTGTCAGTATTAGTGTACATGACTTTCAAGCTGGAAATTTTTCCTCGGTAATGTCTTTCGTTTTGGTATTGACTCCGGCCTTCCTCCATTCTCTGCAGCTGCCTCATTTACTGTATCCCTTGTGTTTTGTGGGGTGTGGTCAGAGATGACATTGTTTACCTGACGCTCACCTTTTCCTGGGTGGGAGGTGGAGCAGGTGGGAGGTGTCCTGCTGTCCCCTGGTTCTGTACTGGCGCACTTGCTTCCACTACCCTACTCTTGAATATAACCCATATACATCCATCCCTGTTCCTCATCGACTCCTCCCTCCTCTGCCTCAAGGACCCCAGGAGTTTGTTGTGCTCAACACGTGACGGAACCCATGAGGGGAGACAACATTCTAGCTTTAGTTTCGACGACTGAGAAGGCTATGGTGAACAAGGTCCATGTCAGGGAGAAACTTAGTTCACCCAGCAATCACGTCATACTGAGATGGAATACCTGCCAAGATAACATAAACCCCCCTCCCCCAACCCGATGTAACGTCAGCCCTATAACACACTCCCGCAGTCAACTTACTCTTGTTTTGAGCTATCAAATCACACTAAATAGACTCAGATGATCTCATTTCATCTAGCTCATCATTAATGTTACTGTCAGGTGTTCCTTGACATACAGAAGTACACCACCACCTCTTGTGGCTCTGTCTTTTCTGAATGGTGGATGATACCCTGGTAACTAAAATTCACCCAAGACATCTCAACCTCATGACTCACTGTTGCCAGTAATGTCTGGTTGTTCCGTGTTTGCATCGAGTATATGCTCAATACTTCAGTCTTGTTAACCATTTGTGTACCAACACTTGATTGGCCTGGTTGATACTATTGTCATTTTTTAAGACTATGAGCCTTGAGGGATAGTGGACTCGCTCTCATGTTTCCCTTGGGATTTTTTTCATTGTGTCTGTCAGTAATTTGAAGGCCAATAAGTAGCAGGAATTGAGGTTTTACAGTGAAATTTATTTAAAAAAACGAATTGAAAAAACAAACATAAAGCAAGAAAGTCAATATGTCCAGGCACTAGTTATTTCAGTCAATTGTAAAATTCTTGTGCATGCGGTCGCATGTTGGTGGCAGCACCCGCCCATATGCAAGCTTCTCAACTCTTACACACAGACACACATTTACCAGTGATAGTATTTTTTTTTGTTTAAACTGCCTTATGGTTTACTTACAAAGTTACACCGGAACAAGTATAAAGTATGTTAATGAATATACCAAGAAACCACCACTCTCTCTCTCTCTCTCTCTCTCTCTCTCTCTTTCTCATAGACCCCAAGCTTACTTTGATATCGATATTCTACCTTATGTAATTTATGTACTTCATGCAGACAATGCACCTGCGCCCCATGATTAGTGACCTCTGCCGCCCTGGATGCATCTGTGCTGCTGGTTATGTTCGTGATGCTGACACTGACACCTGCATCATGCACAATCAGTGCCCGTGTCACCACGGTGGCCGTTCCTATGAAGAAAATGCGACCATCATCGAGGACTGCAACACTTGGTAAGACACCACATGTCCATTCCCTAAATCCAGTACTGCCTCCTCACCTGTTCTTTTTAAGTGGATACCCATAATGATCCAGTTCACCTCTTGCCTTACACCCAACTGGGATTTTCCTTACACTTCATATTACTGTGGGAATTTTGAGTAGAGAATAGCATATTGAGTTTTAGATTATAGGGTTCCCTATATGCCTTGCATGTGTAATGCTGAAGAAAGAGGTACATGCAGGGCTACAGGCAGTCCCCAAGTAACGAGCGATCGACTTACGAACACCCACCCTTACGAATGGGATCCCAGTACATTCATCACTATAATCTGTAATGAAAATCCCACTATTATGTTATTTTAATTATTCTATATTTTTTGACATCATATTATTTACATTATTTATTATGTATGGGATATTAATGTTGTTTTGTATAACACCATTTCAAAACATACAGGTATTCCTCGATATACGAATAATTTAGGTAAAAAAAAACATTCGTTAGGTGAATCTCCATATCTCGAAAAGAAGAACAAATGTGAAAAATAGGGTTCAGTTCCCCAATGATAAAAATAACCCAATATCATAACCCAGAAATCGGCTCACAAGCGAGACAAAAACCTACCTCAATAATGATAAACTGTACGCAACTACTGTAATTTACTACCTAACATCTTAAAAGCATAAATAAAATACTATCTAGATGAAAATATGCAACTAAAACTATTAAGGAAAAGCATAGCTTTTAGTTATATATTTATTTTTTTTATTTATAGGATTTTGTGTCCATGTAATGGAGTTTAAAAAAAAAGAAAGTGAAGAAAGTAAAGTTTATTTATCCAAAACTACAAGTTGAAAAATAATCCTAACCTATCCTGCTATCTCTCGCTGGTGGTAATTTAGGAAATTCGTATAAGTGAATGTTCATATCTCGAATGTTTGTATATTGTGGAATACTTGTATTTATTTTCTGTGACTACGTGAAAAGGATAAGGATAAAGTGGTTGTTTAATGTTGAGTATAAAAGTTAATTTAGATTTTGATTATGTCTTTGTGTGAATTTCAACAGTTTTAGAATTAGTTTCAAATTACCATAGACTAATTCTAACATCACCACCATTCTTCATCATCCGTGTTTCCTCTTGGAAGTGCTATCTTTATACAGTAGTGAGCTCCTGCCTTTGTATCATCCTCCTCCAACCCTCTCTATCATTGTCTTTGCTCTCCAGTTTCCATCATAATCACCAACTCTCATATTTCTCCTAACACAATCCTCTCATCTTAATCTAAGCCATCCTCCCCCTGATGACACACCTCCTGCCATGTATCCACCCTCCTCAACCAGCCGATTTTGTCAAAGTCCTTTCCACTCCAATCTCCTTTAATAACTTATGCAACCTTCTGTTCTGCTTCTTCATTCCTTTTATCTTTCTCACCCAGTTGTTCTAACAGTCTAACACACCTGTGGCTTCCGCCGTTAATGCTCTATCTTAGGTGGTAAAGATAGCCTGGAGCCCTAGTACTGTACACTGTAACACCTTTCTCCCGTAGTTCTTTCTTGTCTTCCCATCTTCTAATATTTCTGCTACCCTAATCCATACCATGGCCTCTATATGTACTCTTTTTCTTGTCTCCACCTCTGATCTCCCATCCTTTAAGACTGTTGTATCCATATTTATGATGCTGTTTCCTTATTGTAGTCACTTACCATCTGTGTGTTCACCCGATATTCACTTGTCTTCTCCAAACTTTTCCACAATCCATGTCTACCAAATAGATCTCATTACTCTTCTAACTGTTGGCTTCTCTCTGCAATCACTAGCAGGTCATCTACATAAAACAACTCCCTGAATAATCCTCCTCCCTAACTTTTCTGTTTTTCAGCCCCATAACTATAATAAACAACAAAGGTCTCACAGCACTGCCCTGCCTCAACTCAAGATGTACTCTAACTTTGTGTCCTACATCTGTTCCACCATATTTACCCCCCTGTTCATGCACTCCTAACCATCTTAATGCCTTAAAAACTGTCTTGGTATTGTATCATATGCTGTCTGTATCCTTTCATCCACTCACTGCCACAATGTAAACATTTTATCTAATATTCCATACCACATAGATATCCTTGTTGTTCCTCTCTGTCATCCTCTACAGTGTCTGCAATCTACACCATCCTTCTTATTCTCCCATCAAACACTTTCCAATGTCTTCAGCATCTGATTTACCTATGGGAACATTCAATATCTTTTTGGGCCTTGTGCATTGCTGTCTTTCTCGATTGGTACTGTACTGTCAACCCTCTCCTCCACACCTTTAACACACACTCTTTCTCTCCCATATATGTTGCTTATTTTGAGATCTTAATCCATTATTTTTTCTTAAAAAAAAATCTGTTGTAGACACCTAATTAATTTTGCCTATCTCAAAATGTGATTGGTCCTCTTCCTCCTTCTCTTTATCATATCCCTATTTCTTTTTTCTGTTCCGCAGCACATGTGAGAGTGGCAAGTGGCTGTGTACAGAGAAAGTGTGTCCAGGGATCTGCACTGCCTGGGGAGACTCTCACTACAAGACCTTTGATGGCCGCCTCTTTGAGTTCCATGGTACCTGTGACTACCTCCTGGCCAAGGGCAAGGACTCCAGGGCTGACAACTTTGAGGTCATAATACAAGTGAGTGAGGGAGTGTGTGTGTGTGTGTGTGGGACTGAGAACAGTGCACAAGGATATAAATGTGGAACACACAGGAATTAAAATGCTTTATGTCTCACCTATCCCAGATATAATAATTATAGAGGAAATACAGGTATTATGAACACTTATTGATCACTGGTAATGAAGAAATGTTTAATATTATCCTTGTTTATTCTCAGGTCTAATTACAATAGACTCATAGTAGTAAAAATTAATTCACATACTCAAACCATGTTTTGTCAGCTCCTTTAATTTTGATGACTTGAAACATGATAAATTCACATGTTTGTTTTACTACAAAGGCAAACAATTATTTTATGGGAGTGGCAGTGAAAGTCCAGTAGGTAGTTTCTTGATGAAATAATATGTTGATTGTAGACATATTTTCTTTTTATGGTAACAATGTTTATTCAATATTGAAATATATTCACTTAATTGTCACTCAATAATATTTTGTTTGATAATATACAGAATGTGCCATGTGGGACTGATGGTGTGACGTGCGCCAAGTCTATTACTCTGAGGGTTGGTACAGGCGATGCTCAGGAAGTTGTGGAGTTCTCACGTAACAAACCTCCACCTACCAAGTGAGTGAAGGGCATGTGTTGTATATGTGAGGAACAAGGTCTTGTGAGGAGAATATCAGAAGAAAATGTAAAATGAATTATACTCTACAGTATTTAGATGTTTTGAGAAATAAACGGTTAAGAGTGTCAAGCTGGAGGAATATGAAAAACTGATTTTTTTTTCCTAGGTTGATATGAAACTTACAATCTTAAAATAAGATAAAGAGAAATATAGTTGTCAGAAATTACTCATTCTTGTTAAAATAGATATTATTATTGAGCATGTTGATTGTTTAGACTGAATTTTCCAAGGAACAGGCTTCACTCCAGACTTTACCAGTAAGCAGGAGGGAGAGCAGAGGGGTGTGTTGGGGTAGTTGTCTTTCGGTGGGGAGGAGACTGGGTACTAGTAGAGGGATGTGGATGGAAAATGTGTATCAGTTGGAAGAGATTACAATGCAGGATAAAATTTTGACAATACTTTTACTTTTATTCTCATTACCACTGATTGGCTCGTTAGTTGCTTAGGCGATCAGTCACGTCTCTGTTTCGCACTGTTGGCAAGTACAATGATACAGTGATATCCCCGTTAGCCGGAACACTTGGTGCAGAGCACTTCTGGGGATGTGAGATGTCCTGTTAACCGGACGAGTTTCTCAATCCCGGAAAAATTTCCCATCCCGGAAATATTTCCGGTTACTGGAAAAAACTTTCCGAGTGTCTAAACTATGCATCTAGCACAGACAAACAGTAGCCCACATCCTCAGAATATTTCTATGTGCTGGGGAGTTTTCCAAGAGTCTAAATTAAAAATATATATGATATGGTCGAGAATGAAGATGTGTGTTACAGCAAAGACTGGTATTTTCCACTCCCTTTGAGCTGGGGGGGATTCGTGGGTCTTCTGTAACTGACCGGACCTGACACAATTTCAGGTGGAGGTAGGGTGGGGTATTAGTGATTTCATATTACTGACCTAATGATACAATGTCAGGTCCCCCATTATCGGGTGGTGGATTTGTGAGTCTGAGGACCTGAAGATATCTTGAATAAACATGGAAGCTAAAATACAGTATTTTTTATACTTACACTTATTGCATTATATCCCTTCAACTTTACGTTACATAAGATTTTAAATTGTGGAGTGAGAAAGCAGAAAGGCGTGGGTGATTAGAGAGATGGAGTGGAAAGCAGTGGGAACATGCACCAGTGTTGCCAATCGCTAAGCTCAGCAGCTGATCTTTTAATTCACCACCACGTAGTTAATCACGCATAAATTTAAGTCATACAATATAAGGGTGTGTGTGGGTGGTGTTAGGGTGTGATAGTGTGGTATTAATTAATAAATAAGCAATATTGTATCGTCAATGACAGTCGTTTGATGAATAGTAGCGTACTACAATTGTCACTACTATTCATCAAACTACTGTACTGTCATTAACAATACAATATTGTTTATTTATTATTCATTAACTAATACCCCAATACCACATCATACACACACACAACATCTAGTTTACAGTCTTTTGTGTGAGACACTGAGTTGGACGGAGGCAAGGAGTAGGCGGGGGGGGGGCAGAGAGGCAAGGTGGAGGCAGGGGGAGGCAAGGAGGCTGGCACTCCCCTTTTCACCATTGATCAGCCTCTTATGGTGTATGTTTATCATGGTTAATATAAAATATTAAACACATTAAGCACAAATTGTTACAGTAAACATATCTTTATTAATTAATAAATAAAAAAACAAAGTAAAACATGGCAGGCATGGAGAGTAGTAGGGGAGAGGCAGGAACCTTATTGGGGTGTGTGCGATCAGTTCCCTCCCTCCCTCTGCATGGCACAGTGTCAAGGAATAGTTCGAGAAGACTGGACAACTCGCCAACTGCACTGGCTAACCATTACCCCGGAATACGATCCGCAAATCGATTAACATCCAGGTTCCCAATTACTGCTGGATAGACAGAGGCAAATGGCATAAAGAAACTTGCCCATAGTTTCACCCTGCCCGAGGATCGAACTTGGGTTCGCTCGCTTGCAAGGTGAGGATGCTGACCATTACACCACAGGTCACACACACTCCACAAACACACACACACAATCGCACAAACACACAACCACACACACACACACACACAACCACACAGACACACACAACCACACACACACATACACACACATGCAGACACACGCAGACACAACCACACACACACACACACAATCACACAGACACACACAACCACACACACACACACACACACGGGAATTAAGACAACAAGAATCCAGTGAGGGTCTTGTTGTGTGACTTCATGGAGGCGAATTAAGAGATCAGCTGTTGAGGAGCTCATTGCTTGGCAACACTGGTGCACGTTACCACTCCATCTCTAATCACCCACACCTTTCTGCTTTCTCACTCCACATTTTAAAATGTTATGTCATGTTATGTTGAAGGGACACAACCTTGCTCATTTATACTTATGCTCATCACAATCTCCCTAAAAAATACTTTAGCTTTCGTGTTTATTCAAGACATCTTCAGGTCATGAGAACCACTAATCCTCCACCCAAGAAAGGATGACCTGACATTCCATCAGAAGGTCAGTAATATGAGTCCACTAATCCCCCACCCTACCTCCACCTGACATTGAGCCAGGTCAGGTCAGGCCCCCCCCCCAAAAAAAAAAAACTTTAACTTTTATCTTTATTCAAGAAATTTTCTGCAAATTATCTCGATTTTCAACCTCGGAAAATTTGTTCCTAAAGGTGGATTTTTTTTTAATTCCGACTTTGGAGATGATTTATCGAGCAAATTTCAATTCTGGCTATCGGAGATTTCTGGGTGATGAGACAACTCTCTTAAAGCCGGAAAAAAATCCCTCATCCCTTGAATATTCCGTAATTTAACGGGTAACAGAAAAATGTTCTCGGAAGTTCCAGAAATTGCCCATTACATCATCTCTCAAACCCAGAAAAAAATTCCTCATCCACGGAATTTTTTGGAATTTTCCGAGTATCGGGAAATTTTTTTTTTTTCCGGAAAATGTCCCCTCAGAAAATCGCTCCCAAAATTGGAATTTTTCCGGAAAATTTCGGCTTTGGGAACGATTTTCTGGGAAAATTTTAATTCCAGCCATCAGAGAGTTCCAGGTTTGAGGGAATCCGCTTCACGGAGATATTACTGTACTAGGCTCCTAAATGTATCTGAACCTGCTCCAGTGTTGGTCAAGTCTGGTCTTGAAAGAGCTCTCATGCAGTGCCGTCACAACAGTCTCTGGCAGATTGTTCCAAGAGTTAACAACTCTCACTCCGAAAAAGTTACCTCTTACAGTTTTCTGGTCTTGCGGCTTCTTCAAACTTGAGCTGTGACCCCTTGTGGGGCGAGTGTCTGCCAGCTCCAGGTAAGGACACTCAACTGAGTAGTGCCCTTTGAGATGTTTATACACCTCAATTAGGTCCCCCCTTGCCCGTCTGTAGTACAGTAGACTCGCAACTTACGCGTATTTTTCTTCTGCGGTTTCAACTATATCCGGATTACCGAGGGTTAGGTCTAAATTTTCAAAATTTTTATGTCTAGTGCAAACTATAGCATGTTCATATTCGAATTAATCACTATCTTATAAGAATCCCATAAGTGTAAATTATATTCTCCCAGGTCAATTCAGTGACCTTTTATAAAAGAAAAACAAAAACTCACTCTAAAGAACATAAATAGATAAATACTTCACTAGACCTCCCAGTGCCAGCTGTCAAACCCCCCCCCCCCAAAAAAAAAAAAATTAATAAAAAATCATCTTCCCAGCCAGGGTTTGGTGGTTTTAGGCTTAAAGTTTTTATCTTATAAAATATCACAGACTAAAGTTAGGAGAATATAACTTGCATTCCTAGAATCCTTGCAAGACAGCGAATAATTTGACTATAAACGTCATATATTTTGCACAAGAGATAAAATTTTTAGTACGTTAGTGTAGTACATTTTTATTAATGTACAAGTTTTTCAACTGTATTTTTGGGTAGATTTACATAAATTTCTTCATTTATTTCTATTCATTTACATGCACACACCATCCTAAAAAAAGTAAAAATAATAATTGTCCTCCTGGGGGAGGAAGGGAGGAGGAGCACCCATGCTTAGGGCAAATAAACCGCCCCTTAAGCACAGTATAAGATTGTCTACTGTATAAACAGATGATGCTTGAAGTTAGCACAATTGCTAAGCAACATAATAAAGGCATTTGTTATGGTTTATGAATGGTGGGAAAGGAGGTACAGTGAGATGGTGTGAGTTTGCCTCTGTCATTAAGTTAATGCACTGTAGGTGCATTGGTTTACGTTGTGATAATTTTGTCTCATATAATAAACCTGCGATAGCAGGGCTTGTATAGTGATAAAGGATTAACTCACCAAGAAAACACAAACGTATCCCAATAATATTGGGAAGTATGGGCGCATTGAGTGCAGGGTAAGTTTTGGAAATTAAAAAAGAAAAGTGCGTTCCATATTCCAGTAAATACGGTACTATATATGGTCATTGATATAATACTATACGCACATCTTTTGGTTCACAAGGCAGTATTCAGAAGCATAAGAGTCACGGCTTTGATATGGTACATCTCAGAGTGCTAAGAGAGTTGTGCAACGAGCTTGCTGAGCCCGTGAAAATCCTGTTCTGTAAATGCCTGGATGAGCAAAAGGTCCCAGTGATTGGAAAATGGCTTATGTGAGTCCTCTTTTCAAGAAGGGCAATCGTTACTCCATGAATAATTATAGCCCAGTGAGCCTGACCAGCATAGTATATAAAGTACTTGAGAGCATTATTAGAGATGCTATGATGGAACATCTACTTCGAAACAACCTTGTAAAGGACTGCCAACACGGTTTTATGCCGGATTGCTTCGGTTTAACACAATTACTCAAGGTACTGGATGTTTGGACCCAAATTCTGGAACAGGGTGGCAATATCGACAATATACAGTAAAACCTCGCTAAGGCGGACCCCGCTTAAGCCGGACAAAATTATTTTGAAAAAAAAAGTCGGACATAATTTATTTAGTAGTACAGGTCCACAATTGCTTATCCGAAAACCCTCGGGGCCAGATGTGTTTCGGAATTTGGAATTTTTCGGATTTCAGAACGGTAGTATGGCACATATACTGTGTATTTTGTTAACACCCTAGTGGGGTCTGTGGCAGCACCCTGTAAGCAAACACATTAATATTTCTGCAACTAACCTTATGAATATAAATTAATAAGTACATACAAAGTACTGTATACCGGTAACAGAATTAATAAAACATTAAATATTAACAAAATACAGTACTGTACAGCATACTGTACAATAATAAATAAAAGTAATAAAATATTTTAGCACTTAATTTGAGGTGTGTAATGTCTACATTCAAATTATTTGCTATCTCGCAGGGATTCCATCGATACAAGTTATATTTTGCTAAGTTTAGTCTGTGACATTTTATAAGATAAAAACTTTAAGCCTAAAGCTACCTTCACCCTGGGAAGGGGGGAGAGAGGTGATGATAGCCAGGCAGGGGGGAGGTGGGGGGTGAGGTGAGGTATTGACCAGCCGGTGGGAAGATTACCCAATGCGTCGTTATCAGTCAAATAGCGGGAGTTTGAGTTTTTTGCTTATAAATATCACTGAATTGACTTGGCAGAATATAACTTACATTGCTGTAATTCTTGTAAGATTGTGATTAATTTGAATATAAACATGGTATAGTTTGCACTAGACAATTTTTTTTTAATTATTTAGTACATTTGAGTACAGTAAAGATTTACCCTTAGGAAAATTATTTCTTTTACTTTTTCACAATATGTATTTAGGATGGTGTGTGCATGTAAATGAGTAAAAATATATGAAGAAAGTTACATATATCTACCCAAATTATGAGTTGAAAAACTTGTACCTAAACGTACTACACTAAAGAACTGAAATTTTTATCTCTTGTGCAAAATATATGATGTTTAAATTCTAATTATTCGTTGTCTTGCAAGGATTCCAGCAATGCAAATTATATTCTGCTGAGACACAACCGATGCCTCACACCTGCATGTATTGCTTTCAAAAAAATTGGATACATTGGTGTTGTATTCGTTTTTTTGTTTAAAATAGAGGTCTTTTTTTATTTGCTCTAAGGCGGACAACCTCTTATCCCGGACACCTCCCCCCCCCCCAATTAGCCCCCCTTAGAGAGGTTTTACTGTATATCTAGATTTTGCCAAGGCTTTTGACATGAAAGGCTGAGAATTAAACTGGAAGGGAACGCGATTTGGGGAAGTGTCCTTGTGTGGATCGGAGACTTTCTGCATAATAACAAGCATTGTTTGGTGATTATTGGTACAAAATCGTAATGTGTACCCTGGACAAGCGGATTACCACAGGGCAGTGTATTGGGCCTGTTGTTGATTGTTTGTTTTATAAATGACATGCCAGAAGCTATACACTCCTCCATACAAATGGTTGTGAACAATGCCAAGTTATTCAGGGAAATTAAGAACCACATTGACCATGAAGAGTTGTGGAAAGTTCTCGGTGAGCTTCAGGAATGGTCGAAAAAATGGAGGCTAAGATTCAATGTCACGAAGTGTAAGAGGCTGCACCTGGATTGTACCAACGGTTAGGAGACGTATCATACATCCCAACGGGACGAAGAAACTGCAGTAATAGAGACTGAATGTGAAGAGGACCTAGGAGTGTATGTTGTCAATGAGCTGAAGTTCTCGGGCCATTGCGAGAAGAAGGTGAATCAATCAACTAGACAGTCCATCCCTCCTATCGATATTCAAGAGTGAGGTGCTTCCCCGCCTGGAGTACTGTCACCCCGTCTGGTCCCCGAGATATGCCAGGGACTGTCAGTTGATTGAAAATGTCCAAAGGAGGGCCGCCAGACTGGTGCCTGCACTTTGGCACATCAGCTATCCAGAGAGATTAGAACGCCTGCAACTGCCTAGCTTACACTACAGACGGGCAAGGGAAGACCTAATTAAGGTGTATAAACATTTCAAAGGGCACTACTCAGTCGAGTGTCCATACCTGGAGCTAGGAGACGTCCGCCCCGCAAGGGGTCGCAGCTCAAGGTTGAAGAAGCTGCAAGTCCAGAAAACTGTGAGGGCAAACTTTTTTAGAGTGAGAATTGTGAACTCTTGGAACAATCTGCCAGAATGTGCTGTGATGGCACCGAGTGTCAGCTATTTCAAGACCAGACTTGACCAACACTGGAGCAGGTTCAGATACAATCAGGAGCCAGTGCATGCCTAGTACTTTCCAACAGTGCATAATAGAGACGTGACCGACCGCTCAAGCGACTAACGAGCCGATCAGTGGTGAAGAGGATAAAAGTAAAAATAATATGGCAGGGGTGTATAAAAATTTATATGAAGTGCATAGAGAATAATTTGCAGGGGGAAAAGATCATATGAATTAACTACCCTGTTGACATGTGCATAAATAAAATTAATATGGATGCAGTTTAGATAGTAGGTTTTTGCATTTCTTAAATTGGTGAATTACTTGTGTGGTATCATTTTCATTTTCAGGAATATGACACGAACCATTATCCGTCAAGCTGGAATATTTGTCTTTGCTGAGGTGACGGACATGGGCTTGGTACTCCAGTGGGATCGTGGAACCCGGGCCTACCTTAGACTTGATCCAATCTGGCAGGGCAAGGTAAGGTCTCCTGGTTAAGGCTCAGAGGAGAAGAGAAGATGTAAAAGAAAGCTGAGAGGTATTGATAATACAGGGGTTGATTCCAAGTTGTGGTAAAAATACGAACGGGGAATGGAAAGCTTTTAGTGTTTAGTACTGTACAGTATAGACAGTCCAGTCCCTGATTTACAAAGGTTTGACTAACAAAGATCTGAAATTCCATAAAAAGTTAATGTTGTCCCTTGATTCAATTTACAAACAAATATCCGAGGTTAATACTTTTTTACATTTATTTTGTATATTTTTTTCTAAAAGTGATGATAAAAATATACAAAAATAACTCTTCTACATGTTTACTAACAATATGCTATACATATTTCATTAATTTACATAATTATTCTCTAACACTCACAATATTAATAAGTCTACAGTAATAAGTTTACAATATATCATCATTCTCCTATACACTGGACCCTCGTTAATTCGATAAAAAAAGGCTCTGGGTCACTCGAATTACCGAAAAATCTGAATTAACCAAGATCGAAATATTCTGACTTACATATTCGACAATTTCTGAATATTTATGTTTGATTATCTGTTCATTTTCTGTTTAGTTTTTCATCTGGCCTTGGCTTGACTACCACAAATTTTCACCTTGGCTGCTACAAAGTAATCTAATTTGTTTTTAAATGTCCATACAGTAATAATAAAGTAAATAATACTGTAATAAATAAATGTAGCACTGCAAGGTGAGCTGACGTGGCAAGAGATGAGGTGAGGTGACAAGGCACTTATAGAGTAAACTTATTAAAAGCAGTACTTAACCATTGTCTTTTGACTTTTTAATTTCGTATTTTCATTTCAAAATTAATTGATACATGAGGGCTCAGTTTGGCCACTTATGCAGCTTAGACAACTGATCAGTGAATAAACCAGGACATATGGAGATGCATTATATGCTCCAATATTATTTACTAAATGCTCAAGACAGATCCTGTGATACGCACCAACTCTCTTGAGCAGTGACAACAACGGTGCTTGAGAGATGGTGAGTGTTGGCCACATTATTAGGGAGAGCGAATCAGCCAGATCGATTAGCTGTTGACTCTCTGTAAACAAGAGACCGAAAATATACTATAGTGCAGTAGCTCATAAGGGATTAAGTGTGGGATTTGAGAGGAAAATTAAATATTTTTTTGATAATTTTTTATTAACCCGGCACCGAATGAACCAAAATAATATGGGAATTACAGTATGGTGAATTGCATACTGTTGTTATAAAGGGATAGCGGGTGTCTGAGCAGGAGGCGATCAGTTGTCCTCCCTCCTTCATCTGCCACCTCCTTCCTCAAGCTACTCACCGAATGTTTTTGCACAGTATCTTAATAAAATTCATATTCTATTTATAAAATTCATCCTAATCTATTTAATTTTATATTCCTATAGTAATAGTTGACTTTTCGGAACCGCTCGGTTATTTCAGATTCATTCCTAATTTGAATCGTTTAATTCATTTTTTAGAAAAAAAGATACAAATTAAGCCAAAATCCAAATTAATGAGGGTTCAGTGTACTCTAATCACCGTATAATTTACTCTGCAGACTCAGTGGGAAATAGTAGACTTGTCTCCACCAGGCACACAGTCACTCAGTCAGCTGAAATTAGTAATTTGGGATTTTTTTTAATACTTTTTAATAAAATGTGCCTAGAGGAAATAATTAATACTTTAACCATGGGAGACTCCCCCTAAGCTGAATAAAATTATTGGGTAATGGCCAGAATAAAATGATGAAGTGTAGGAATTGCATCAAAGGGGTTAAGGTGAATTGAATTTCTATAGTGATCTTCCCATTAGCTGGAATCTTCGATCTCCAGCATATTACTCGTTCTTGTCACTCAGTTTCTCCTAAGATTCACTAAATTCACAAATCAAACCTGAGGAAAGTTACTGTCTTCACTTTTGTCATTGTCACTATGCAAGAGGAGTCATCTTTGTCTCCTGCTATCAAATATAACGCCATCGGTTTCCTTTTGCATGGGACAATTGCTAGAAGCCTCCACAAAGATGCTGAGCACATACAAAACAGGGAAATTTAAATTGGTCTCACAAGAAGCATATCACAACTGTTGTGGAATATGTCCAGAACAGTGTGACCCTCCATCCCACAACTGTTATGGGATATACTGTACATGACAAGGGTTAAGACAAAAGGATTTGTCCTTGTTTAATACTTATTGTGTTATATCTTTCACGACAAGGTGATAATACAACATGCATCCTGTAGAATTCTTTTTAAAGTGTATACAATACTGTACTTTTATCATTTTCCCTATAATAGAGCACTGTACTTTTGTGACTCTACAACAAATAATTGCAATATACTGTATACTGTATTAATACTTGTACATCAATCCAGACTTTATTACCGGTAATTATGGTATAACGGGGAATTCTCAGTTAGCCAGAATAATTTGTGCAGAGCACTTCCGGGAATGAGGGATTTCCTGGTAACACGACAACTCTATCAAAGCAGGAAAAAAATCCCTCATCCCGGAATTATCCGGAATTTTATGGTGGGGCTCAAAGAAAAGGAGTTAAAACATTTTCAAGAAACTTAATACTTACTTAGGCAGAAAATTTATTGGTATTGGTTGCTGTTCCCACATTTTACATAATGCTGTGCAGACTGCCTGCGACTGTTTGCCAATTGATGTGGAAACAGTTGTTGTTAAGATATATTCATATTTCTACTTGTATACAGTTAGAGTAGAAGACTTGAAGGACTTCTGCGATTTTGTGGAAATTGAATATAAACAGCTTCAGGGGTACAGTTATCACTAATGCCAGCTGTTGAGAGAATTCTTAGAATATTTCCTGGCTAAAAGTGTCCTGTTGTGCTAAAGATTTTTCTGGAGAACCATTGTGCAAAAGTCCTGCTCAATTTTGTGCATAGTCAGCCACCTTCCATCAAGTCATCTTAAAGATTGAAGAGGAAAATACAACAGCAGTAGAAGTTATGATCGGAATCAATGATTTGAAACAAAATCTGCAATCCAAGTAAGACTATATTTTGCCACATTCAGTGAGGGTTCTAGCAAACAAACTTGAAGAAGGTGGATTAATTGACTCATCTGCATTGAAGGAAATAGTTACAGATATTTATGACACGTGTTCAGTATTTAGGCCAGTGGTCAGGTCACTTGCAAGACTTCTCACATATGCATTAGGCCTCATTAAAGACGTTGAGAAAACAATGGATTTTGCTGCAGAAAAGAAATTCTACGATTCAAAATTTGATACTGAGTTATTTGACGAGTTTTGCTGTGTTACAAGTTATATCTCTGAGGAAAAAGTGTCAGAGTCGTATGCAGCTAAGTTACCCAGAGGCCAGCGCTCGGTAGAAATGTTCACTCACTTTAAGGACAGAGATATTACCCACTAGCACATGTTAAGATTGGTTCAGTTCATTCTGTGTCTTCCTGGAACAAGTTCATTTACCAAACGTGGTTTTTTTCTCAAATTAACAAACTGTGGGCATTTGAAAAATCACAGCTAAAAGTCCCATCTCTCAAAGCCGTACTAGTCACGAAAGTTAACTTCAAGCAAGCCTATCTGGAATTCTACAATATGCTAAGATCAACTACAGAGATGTTAAAACTAATCTTATCCAGTGTAAGGTAAGAGCATTAGAAGGTAATTGGCAAATACCATTGTTATGTACAATTGTTTTGTTTTTGGGTCAAGTATACTATAACTGTATAATTGATGTTGGTGTATGGATCGTAGGGTTTTTATTTCATAATTTGTATGTCCTGCTTTTAGCTCCAAGAAATATGGTCACTTTACTCTTTGATTAACACCATACTGCCACCCTTTGATTAACTCATAATAAAAAAATTCATTTAATTGTCTTTACTGATAACCTCTAATTCTTCCCTCTTGAAGGTCAGAGGTTTGTGTGGGAATTACAATGGAGATGAACAAGATGACTTCCGAACACCATCTGGCGGGTCAAGTGAAGTTTCAGTCAAGATCTTTGGAGATTCTTGGAGGTTACAGAACTATTGTCCTGATAGTATATTGATCAAGGCAAGTACAGAATATATGCTCCATTTTTAATTATATAATTTTTCATTTTGATAACTATTTATCAGTATATTTTTAAACAGTTTCCTCCTCGCTCTCTACCTATCCTTTCTCTCTTTCTGTAGTAATACTTTATGTCCTTCATTGCCTCAGCTTTCATTCACCTCTAATAAAACCAATATTAAAAATTTAATTTTTCTATACAGCTTAATGTGCCAAAATATACTTCTTGGCCATTAGTAAATTATCGACATTTATAGACTGTACAGTGATCACTAAATGGATAAATAATTATTTAAAGAACATCATTGGCCAAAGGAAGGCTATAGGTGGAAGGATAAATCGTGGCGAAATTCACCTCCGGGACTATTATAGGGTATTGGCAAGTAGGGTTAAAACCGAGATAAGGAAAGCAAAGAGGAATAATGAGGTAAGGATAGCAAGGGAGGCGAAGACAAACCCCAAAGGATTCTACCAAATGTATCAAACTAAAACACGAGAAAAGATTGGACCAATACTGGTCAGACTTCGGCGAGCTCACTGATAACGACGGAGAAATGAGCAATAATTTGAATAAATATTTTTCAACAGTTTTCACCACCGAAAATTTAAACATGTTACCCGAGGCACCGACTCTATTCAGAGATAGTGAAGAAAACAAATTAAGTGAGATAGTAGTGACTAGTAACGATGTTAGTAAGCAAATAGACAAACTAAAGCCTAATAAGTCACCTGGTCCCGATGAGATATTTGCCAGAGTATTAAAGGAATGTAAGGAAGAGCTTAGTATGCCCTTAGCAAAGTTGTTTAACATGTCATTAAAAACAGGTGTAGTACCAGAATCCTGGAGGATAGCGAATGTAATACCGATTTTCAAGAAGGGGGATAGATCACTATCCTCTAACTACCGCCCAATCAGTCTAACATCAATAGTAGGCAAATTACTGGAAGCAATCATTTCAAACTCTATTCGAAATCACCTGGAGAAGCACCGATTGATCAATGATTCTCAGCATGGCTTCACAAGCGGACGTTCTTGCCTAACTAATCTATTAACATTCTTTTCATCAGTTTTCGAATCGGTGGACGAGGGGCACAATTGTGATGTGGTATATCTCGACTTTAGCAAAGCCTTCGACAGAGTCCCCCACGAAAGACTAATCAGAAAGGTAGAAGCTCATGGCATCAAAGGTGACATCCTTAAATGGATTAGGGCTTGGTTACAGGACAGGAAACAGCGAGTGAGCATTAACGGCACTAAGTCTCATTGGAGCAACGTCACAAGTGGAGTTCCCCAAGGCTCAGTACTTGGACCATTATTATTTATTATATACATAAACGACGTAGATATCGGCATTGACAGCAACATAAGTAAATTTGCTGATGACACTAAAATAGGACGTGTTATCAAATCTGACGAGGACTCGGCAAAACTACAGGAAGATCTAAACAAATTTTCGAATGGTCTGAAAAATGGCAGATGAAATTCAACGTCTACAAATGTAAAGTACTCAGTATAGGAGATGTAAACAGGGAAACCAGATACCAGATGAACAACGATGCCATAGAGAAATCCGACTGCGAGAGAGATTTAGGAGTAATGATAAGTAGGAACCTTAAGCCAAGTAAACAATGTGTTTTTGCTCGTAACAAGGCTAATAAAGTACTTGGGTTCATACAAAGGAGTGTTAGTTACAAGACTAGCGAGGTCATCCTAAAACTGTATCTTGCTCTTGTGAGACCACACCTGGATTACGTAGTTCAGTTCTGGTCACCATATTACAGAATGGATATAGAATCCTTGGAAAGAATTCAGAGGAGAATGACAAGACTAATCCCGGGCATTAGGAACCTTGAGTATAGAGACAGGTTAAAGCATCTTAATTTGCACTCCTTTAAGAGACGTAGAGCGAGGGGCGACCTGATAGAGGTGTATAAGTGGAAGGCAGGGCTAAACAAAGGTGACATTACAAAGGTACTTAAACTATCCAACCAGGAGCGAACTCGTAACAACGGTTTTAAATTAGACAAATTTAGATTTAGGCGTGAAATAGGTAAACACTGGTTTGGAAACAGAGTAGTGGATGAATGGAACAAGTTACCAAATATCATCATTAACTCGAATACGCTGAATTGCTTCAGACATAGGTTGGATGCTCATATGAGCAATAGGGGTTGGGTGTAAACGGGACTGCCCAGTATGGGCCAATAGGCCCGCTGCAGTTTCCTCCATTCTTATGTTCTTATGTTCTATCCACCACATGTCCTCTGACTTTAGAAATCTCATGAACTATTTTTTCAATGATATATCAACAATTAATGTTTATTGGAATATTTTTATTTCAAGACATTCTTATAATTCAACTCATTTGAAATTTGTTTAGTTTAATAATCCAGTACAGGTTCGTACATATTGTGTTTTAGAATACGTATTGTATATTTAACAGAGGGATGATGGAGCTAGTATTGTCTCCCCTTCTGGATACTTCCACACAAAGGGTAGTTGTGTTGATGTGTGTCTGTCCATCCCTATAGTGTATTGAGAATACTTCTTTTCACAAACTTTTTCATTGTAAGAAAAAACCCAATACGTGTACAGTTAGTGCACAGAATATGTTCATGGAAAATGGTGTGTGGGAGACATGATGAGTAAAAAAATGGTGATAATAATAAAATACACAAAATTGGCGAGTCAAAAGGCATGTGTCCACAGTGTAAGCGCAGTAAAATTTTTACTGTACTGTAAACAGAGAGTACTCAGTGTTGATTGACCCAGTGAGTAAAAAAAAGAGAGCTACTCTTGGTCTGTTGTGTGTTTGAACTCGTGACTTTTCACGACGTTTATGAATTTTTTATTTTTTTTTACTTTTCCCTTGAGCTCCAAGATACAAGGAAGAGCTCTGCAGTTTATAGAAATAGCACTCTATGGGGTACAGCTATTTGGAGTATTTCTGTACTTTGCAATATGATTAAGTTACAGCTAGGTAGACTGCAGGGTTCAGTTTGCGCTATCCACAGATAAAATAAATTAGATTATATAACCATAATTAATCTTTATCATTCAGATGGATCACATACAGTGTTTATAAATGTGATTGTTTGAAACTATATTAAACCTATTCAAGTTAATGGGATCATTAAGTTCAGTGTGATATTTACCTTACTTAAGTCAAGTACAGCAAAGTATACTTCAACGTCCGTATGTCGGAACACATACCCTATGTGCACTATATCTTAGCCCAAGCCCTTTTATACATCTCAAATCACCTAATTTAAGAGAAAAGAGGAAATTGAATGACAAAATACAGTTAAGAAAAGTAAATATTAAAGTTTAACACTTACATTGAAATCTGGGACTGGTTTGCATGTAGAGATGGTCATTTGTAGGAGTGACAGAGGCTTTATTGGGATTGTTGAGCTGAAACTTTCTTCTTTTCGTCATAAATCTCTCTGTAGCATTATAGACATTCAATACTGATATTGATATTGAAACAGCTTATTTAGCCAGAAAAACACAGATAATAATAATATGAATATTAACATGGCTGAGCCAGTTGAGAGCCTGAGCTTTCTTGAAGGCACCTGATATATACAGGGGGCCCCGAAATTCGCGGGGGTTAGGTTCTCAAGATGGCCGCAAATCGCCAAATCCGCGATAACATTTGCGGATCAGGGGGGGGTACATTTTTACTTGTGTACAAAGAAATGTATATCCCTTTTATTTTCCTTTAGGACAATTGTTTCTTTTACCTGCAGTTTTGTAGACTGTAATAAAGCACGGACTGGAAGGTAGACTGTCACATTGTTAATCAATTGTTTCTGATTATTTATGAGAGTATTTTCCCATTATTATTTATTTGTATGTGTTTTGCGTGTATGTGTCTACACACACACACACACACACACACACACACATTTACAATACAGGTAAAGGAAATTACTGTCTCCTGAACAAATGGCTCCCTGTCCCAGCCGCGAAAATGCCAGCAACTTTAAAACTACCCACAGACATTCTTGGGTATATCCAGGGTGTCATCCGCGAAAAACCGAGGACCGCCAAGTAAAAATCCGCGAACTTGGGGGCCTTTGTACTGTACATATATCTCATGGAAATAGTATGTAACATTTAGTATCATCTGCAATAGTACACATAACATGGTGGTAGTATGAGCATATCTGAATGTTACACGGTTATTTCTTTGTTATTTATTTATTTTATTTTATTTTATTTTATTTTTTTACATCTATATTATAAGTAGTAATATTTCCGTTAGCCGGAATCCCTCAAACCCGGAACTCTCCGATAGCCGGAATTGAAATTTGCTCGGAAAATCATTCCTGAAGTGGGAATTTAAAAGAATAAAAATATCGGCTTTGGGAACAGATTTTCCGAGGTAGAAAATCGAGAGGATTTTCTGAAAAAATCTTGAGTAAAGACAAAACTAAAGTATTTTGGGTAGTGACCCGACGTGATTCATTGTCAGGTGGAGGTAAGGTGGGAGATTAGTGGTCTCATATTACTGACTTTCTGATGGAATGTCAGGTCATTCTTTCTTGAGTAGGGGATTAGTTGGTCTCATGACCTGAAGATGTCTTGAATAAGCGTGAAAACTCAAGTACTTTTAAGGAGATTGTGATAAATATATGTATAAATGAGCAAAATTGTATCCCTTCAAAATATGGAGTGACAAAGCAGAAATGTGTAAGTGATTAGAGAGATGGAGTGGAAAGGAGTGGTAACATGCACCAGTGTTGCCAAGCGATAAGCTCCTCAGCAGCTGATCTTTTAATTCGCCTCCATGCAGTCACACAACAAGACCCTCACTGGATGCTTGTTGTCTTAATTCCTGTGTGTGTGTGTGTGTGTGTGTGTGTGTGTGTGTGTGTGTGTGTGTGTGTGTGTGTGTGTGTGTATGTGTGTGTGTGTGTGTGTTTTGACCTTGCCAAGCACATTGTGGGATTTGAGGAAGTTGATGAAGAGTTTGTTCAGGAGTCAGGTGGTGAGGTGACATGCCAAGACACTTACACAACACACACATTAACAGCACTACTAAACCATTGTCTTATAACATTTTACATTATAAATTCTATTTTAAAATTAATTGATTCAGGATAGCTCGACAGGGCTAATTTTGCACTTAGACAACTGATCAATGAATAGACCAGGGCATATGGAGACTCATTGTACATTAGTGATGTCACAAAGCTTCGAAACTGCAACCACAACTTCTGAGCAACCACATAAATTATCACAATCTGTACTCAAATGTACTAAGTTGATTACTAAAATTATTATGTCTGGTGCAAATAAGGGATATTTATAATTAATCGCTATCTTGCAAGAATTCCAAAATGCAAGTTATATTCTCCTAAGTCAAGTCAAAGCCGTTTTATAAAAAGAAAATTAAACCCCCTACCATTCATAATCCTTAAGAGAGCGTTAATCTCCCCTCCCGGCTGTCAACACCTCCACCTCCCCCCCTGCTCCCGACCATTGGGGGGTACAAGTGACCGTGCACACCCCCCCCCCCGCCAAGGGTCGCCTCACTGACTCATTCATGATACAGTATTTATAATTGATGGAGTCAATGAACCACAATTTAAAGAATTTTTAAAACTGGCTGTAAATGATTGTTTTTATTTAATAACAAAGCTTTTAAACAATGTGATGGTGTTGGTATGGTTCACCCTTAGGTCCCACATTGGCCAACGCTTTCCTCTGTCCAAGAAAAGCTTTGGCTAACCGAATGTCACTCCCCCCCCAATTTAAGCCTTTGTTCTATCGTCGGTATATTGATGACACTTTTTTTTTTAATTTTCAGGTCACTTGATCACGTCTCTATGTTCCTAAATTATTTAAATTCGAAACATGGGAACATCAAATTTACTTGTGAATTGGAAAAAGACAATATTCTTCCATTCCTTGATGTTAATATTCACCGTCTTCATAATAGTTTCGAGACAGCCTTATACAGAAAACCAACTTTCACTGGTTTGAGTTCAAAATGTTCATCTTTTATTCCTTTTAATTACAAACGTAATCTAGTACGTACTCTTACCAACAGAGCCTTTAATACATAAAGGAACTACTCTTTAACAATGGTTTCCCTAAGAGATTTACAGACACTTATATAGGCAAAACCATTAATAGGTTTTTAGTCCCACACAGCCTCAAATGAACACCGTCCCTAAATATTCTATCTATTTCACCATCCCGTACACAGGCCCACTCAGTTTCACCCTTAGAAACAGACTTATAATGTATACAGCCTGAACAACATCAACCTAGAGAAGTCGACTTGTGAAAGAGACCTAGGGGTACTTGTAAGCCCGGACCTACGGCCTAGAAAACAGTGCGTTAATGTTCGAAATAAGGCAAACAGAGTATTGGGTTTTATATCTAGAAGTGTAAGTAACAAGAGTGTAGAGGTCTTATTGCAACTATATCTTGCGCTAGTTAGGCCGCACCTCGATTATGCGGTTCAGTTCTGGTGCCCCTATTATAGAATGGATATAAATTCACTAGAGTCGGTGCAGCGAAGAATGACAAAAATGATTCCGGGACTTAGAAACCTTCCATATCAGGATAGGTTAAAGAAACTTAACTTGCATTCCCTAGAAAGACGAAGAGTGCGGGGAGATATGATAGAAGTATTTAAGTGGGTGAAAGGAATCAATAAAGGGGATATAGATAAAGTTCTTATAATATCCGAGCAGGATAGGACTCGGAGCAACGGATTCAAGTTGGATAAGTTTAGATTTAGGAGGGAGATAGGAAGAAACTGGTTCACAAATAGGGTGGTGGACGAGTGGAACAAGCTTAGCAACTTTGTAGTAAGTGCTGGAACTCTGGAAAGTTTCAAAAGGAGGCTAGATAGATTCATGGATGATAGAGAGTGGTAGTAACTCTCGACAGGAGCTGCCATGCACAGGCCAACCGGCCTATTGCAGACTCCTTATTTTCTTATGTTATGTTCTTATGTTATGTTCTTAACTTAAGAAGCTTTTCAATGAATTCTATCCACAAATTTCTTTTAGACAAGTCTTCAAAACCCAGAGTTCAATTAAAAAATTCTTTAAAATTAAAGACACCATGTCCACACACCTGCAATCCTCAGTTGTTTATCAATTTACGTGTGCTAGCTGTAGGGCAGCATATGTAGGCAAAAAAAAAAAAATGATAACTCGCTTCCATGAACACTTGAGCCGTTCCGTCCGAACAGGCCAGTTAATCACACAACCACCACATTCAGCTATTCGTAACCACGCCCACCAACATGACCACCCGTTTTCGCCGCCTGATTTCTCAGTTCTTGACAGGAGCAACTGTGAGACGGACCTCCTCATTATGGAAGCCTTGCCTCAGTATTGTATAAAGTAAAGCTATCCTTTTGTGATATGGCATGTGAATTGTTGTGTTTTTCGCACTAGGGCTCGTCTAAATTAAGGTAATACCCTTGTTCATTTTTATTTCACATTTTTATTCCTGATTTTAGCTTTGTACGTAGGTCTCTCGTCAATTTTGTCGGTTTTAAACTGGAGTGCTCTTTCTTTAAATTTTTTGGAAGGTAAATTTTGGTATAATATTATGTTTTTATTGTATATCACCTGTATTTTTAGAACCTTTTCAAAACTTTTGTTTTCTAGGCTCTGATGATGGAAAATGATTTTTCCGAAACGTTAGTGATTAAAGAAACCCAATTTAGTCAAGATGTTTGTGTTTTCCCTGGTTCTCCTCTTCGTTATATATATATATATATATATATATATATATATATATATATATATATATATATATATATATATATATATATATATATATATATATATATATATATATATATATATATACATAGAGAGAGAGAGATAATTTATATAGCAACAAATCTGGTATTGTGACAATTTATCTTGACTGAAAATACTAAACTTTTCATGTATAGTAAAATATGCCAAACAAAATTCAGTATTCAATGACTTTTTTGGATTGTTTTATACCATGAACTCCTTGTACCAAACTGGCTGTCCACCAATTATTTTAGTATAGAGACGTAGCACTGTTTATTGTTAATTATTTCCCCTCTGCCCCTTAAGCATGTTTTTAGTTTGTGGTTGGGTTAGGTAACTGATGAAGATTATGAAAATATATTTATGTTGCCGGTTTTATCATTGTCAGTATTATCAGTGTATAAGATTTCTACAATGGTCATTTTATCAATGTTTTCATTATTCACATTTCATCAGTGCACTAATCAATTTGTCTTACACAGGACACCTGCAGCCTACACCCCCACAGGAAGGTATGGGCAGCTAACCAGTGTGCTGTGCTCAAGACGGAACCTTTTACACCCTGCCATTCTAAGGTTCCTGTTGAGCCCTATGAAGACAGGTAAACCCAATTTCCTTTATCTATACTGATATTATTCCTGGGGTGTTGTATAAGCTCTATTAACGGGTGTAGAAATTTCTTCGTGTCGTGACTTGCAGACTTCCTCAACTCTCAGGAAACACATATTTTGTACTTTTATTTCTTTACATTCTTTTTCATAGATTTCCAAAGCATTATTTCTTTCTTATCCAGTTTGTTGAAGCTCAAGGGAAACTGTACTATCGTACTTCATTGTGTACAATGGAAACACATTTATATTATGTTTTGTTCCTGTTTTTATTTTAATTAAAAATCTTGTGTTTTTAGATCGGTAATCAGTAAAAGATGGCCAGTAAGCCTAGAATTGGAAAATTGAAAATCTGAGTACCCCGGTACAGGCATTGGCTGATGTACAAAAGGGTTCCATTCCTGAAAAACGTCATATCAATTTATTTTTGTGAGAAAATATTTCCTTAAAACATCTTAGAGAGCTACAAAACATGAATTAAATGAATATTTTGGTGTACACAATGATTATAGGCTATAGTGAAACATCTGTAGTAGAGGACAGTACTGAGAAACTACACCAATGGTTGTTATGCAGTGTGAGACTGTAAGGCCCAGACAAGATAGAGTTTTTATTTGGTACGGATGCAACAACAATAAGTCTATTACACTGTATGTACTGTATATATTTTGAGATATTTTGCTTTCCCTGGATATGATGTTTGATGAGGCTGCCTTACATAACAATTCTCTGAGCCTTGATATCTAAAACACTACATTTATTTTATGTGTAGCCTAGTTAACCACTCTTAATACTAAACAATACAACACTGTATGTTGTTTTTAGTTTGTCTTTATAAGCTGACCAGGTCTAGCACAGGGAACCCTGAGATGCCTGTGTCTGTCAGCACTTCACTGGCTTTCAATGCTGCGAAAGATTGTGAAACTATGTTTTTGTTGTAAATTGAAACCTTGGACAAATTATTATTATTATTTTTTTTAAATTGGATCTGCATCAGTTAGGGATTGTCTGCCTGTAATTCATTACTGAATGTAATTTATTTATATACGTAGGTCTTCTAGTAGTGCAGATGAAATACATTTCCTTTTCCAGTAGACTTAAGGTTAATTTTAACTCGTATGATATTCAAAATTTAAAAGCTATTATCACTCACCTGTCGTCAGTAGTTTGTGTACTATACAATTAATTGACTTTAAACAGTGCATCCATGCATGGTACTCTTGTTTATATTAAAGTTGGAATGCATTATCATTTTGCATGAAGGTTTGTCTTTTTGATGTACAATACGCCAACTTTAATAACAAAATAGAAAGGTAACTTAACAGACTAGTTGCCCTCAACTGTAAGTAGAATCGCCTACATTTCTATCTCTTTATTTTCCTCTATTTTACCCCCATGTCCAACACTTGTGGTCCCACACTGCAGAACTCTGCCTCAGGTATGACCCTAGAGGGATACTTTGCCTGAATGTCCTTGTGCAAATTGGTGTCAAGAAAGGTCAATAAGTCTTAATTTTATACAATAATTCCTTCAAGCTAACAACATTTTACCTTGTGCAGACACAGATATGAGGTCCAGTAAGAGGTAAAATGGGTACCAATCACTTTTTTGCACTGTCTGAATTATCCACTTTATTTGATGAAAGAGCCTCACTATGCTCATAAAATGTCTGACTTTCCCTGCCAAACTGGATACTAGATAATTTAGATCCTTGGGCCATTCAACAAGGTAGAGCCCAAAAGTATTGGAATTCGAGGTTCAAGTGTACAGTATTTTCTTTGTTCTGTTCTACATGAATCTTATTTTATCTTCATGTCAGATGTCAGTTTGATGCTTGTGGCTGTGACACTGGTGGAGACTGCCACTGTTTGTGTACAGCTTTAGCTGCCTATGCTCATGAGTGTAACATCCATGGGGTGTACATTAAGTGGCGTACACCAGACTTCTGTCGTGAGTAGATTCTTTGTACTTTTTTATCAATACAGTACAGTAGCATTTTTTCTTATACCTATACTATAACATTATTTCTGCTCAAACATTTGATACAATTTTCTTCTAGTCTGATGTGTTCTTGACCAGTAATATCTCCGTTAGCCGGAATCCCTCAAACCCGGAGATGTCCGACAGCCGAAATTGAAATTTGCTCGGAAATTCATTTCCAAAGCCGAAATTTTCCAAAAAATTCCAACTTTAAGAACAAATTTTCCGAGGTTGAAAATCGAGAGAATTTTCTAAAAATGTCTTGAATAAAGATGAATGTTAAAGCATATTTTGGGGGAACCTGACCTGACCTGACTCAATCTCAGGTGGAGGTAGGGTGGGGGATTAGTGGTCTCATATTCCTGACCTACTGATGGATTGTCGGGTCACCCTTTCTTGGGTGGTGGATTAGTGGGTCTCATGACCTGAAGATGTCTTGAATAAACACGAAACCTAAAGTATTTTTAGAGAGATTGTGGCTTGTGGTAAGTATAAGTATAAATGAGCAAAGTTATATCCCTTCAACATTACATTACATAACATTTTAAAATATGGAGTGAGAAAGCAGAAATGTGTGGATGACTAGAGAGATGGAGTGGAAAGGAGTGATAACATGCACCAGTGTTGCCGAGCGATAAGGTCCTCAACAGCCGACCTTTTAACTCGCCTCCATGCAGTCACACAACAAGACCCTCACTGGATGCCATTGATATATTTTTCGATACATTAAAATCATTATATTATTCTACTAAAGATGGAGCACGGTGATTCACCGTATTTACAACAAATATAACATAAGAACGTAAGAATGGAGGAAACTGCAGCGGGCCTATTGGCCCATACTAGGTAGTCCCATTTACACCCAGCCCCTATTGCTCATATATCCAACCAACCTAAGTTTGAACCTATCCAGCGTATTCGAGTTAATGATGATATTTGGTAACTTGTTCCAGTCGTCCACTACTCTATTTCCAAACCAGTGTTTACCTATTTCGCGCCTAAATCTAAATTTGTCTAATTTAAAACCATTGTTACGAGTTTGCTCCTGGTTGGAAAGTTTGAGGACCTTTGTAATGTCCCTTTTGTTTAACCCTGACTTCCATTTATACACCTCGATCATGTCGCCCCTCACTCTACGTCTCTCGAGGGAGTGCAAATTAAGATGCTTAAACCTGTGGATTCTTTCCAAGGATTCTATATCCATTTTGTAATACAGTGACCAGAATTGAACTGCGTACTCCAAGTGAGGTCTCACAAGCGCAAGATATAGTTGTAAGATGACCCTGTAACTAACACTCCTTTGTATGAACCCAAGTACTTTATTAGGTTTGTTTCGAGCAAATACACATTGTTTACTTAGCTTAAGATTCCTACTTATCATTACTCCTAAGGTATTGGATATTTGGACCATATTCTGGAACGGGTGTGGTAATATCGACAATATACTCGTATATCTAGATTTTGCCAAGGCTTTTGACAGTGTACCCCCAGAAAGCTGAAAATCAAACTGGAAGGTTACGAAATTCGGGGAACTGTCCTAGCGTGGACAGAAGATTTTCTACATGACCGCAAGCAGTGAGTGGTGATTAATGGCACGAAATCATCTGTACCTATCACAAGCGGGGTATCACAGGGCAGTGTATTGGGCCCTCTGTTGTTTGTTTGTTTGTTTCATAAATGACATGCTTCACATTGTACACTCCTCCAATCAAATGTTTGCGGATGACGCCAAGTTATTTCGGGAAATCAAGAACCAAGCGGACTGTGAAGAGCTGCAGAACGATCTCTGTGAGCTCCAAGAATGGCCAAAGAAATGGTTGCTGAGATTCAATGTCACGAAGTGTAAGAGGATGCCCCTGGGGCGTACCAACGGTAAGGAGGCGTATCATATGACCCAACGGGATGAAGAAACTGCACTATTTGAGACAATGTGAGAAGGACCTAGGTGTGTATGTTGACAGTGAGCTGAAGTTCTCGGGCCATTGCGAGAAGAAGGTAAATCGGGCAAATAAATTAATAGGCGAAGTGCTTCCCCATCTGGAGTACTGTCACCCGGTCTGGTCTCTGAGATATACTAGGGACTGTCAGTTGGTTGAAAATGTTCAAAGGAGGGCCACCAGACTGGTGCCTGCACTTCGGCACCTCACCTACCCTGAGAGATTGGAGCGCCTGAACTTGCCTAGCTTATACTACAGACGGGCAAGGGGGGACCTAACTAAGGTGTAGAAGCATCTCAAGGGGAACTACTCAGTCAAGTGTCCTTACCTGGAGCTGGCCGACGCTCGCCCCGCAAGGGGTCACAGCTGAAGATTGAAGAAGCCGCAAGTCCAGAAAACTGTGGGAGCATACTTTTTCGGAGTGAGAGTTGTGAACTCTTGGAACAATCTGCCAGAAAGTGTTGTGACGGATCACCTGAAGAATCGTCACCCCAGAATGTCCACCTGAAGAATCGTCACCCCAGGATATCCCACCTGAAGAATTATCACCCCAGCCTGCTCCACCTGAAAAATCGTCACCCCAGCCCACAGTGAATATAATTTGTATGATTTGGATAACATGAATATATTTCTTTGTGTTATGCATCTTTATTGTGCAAAGTTAAAAAACAATACAGGGTACACAATGATGAGTTCAATCTTAATTACCTAACCTAACCAAACCAAGCCCATCCCATAATAATAATAATAATAATAATGGATCACCTGAAGAATTGTTACCTCAGGTGTTGCCAGCTGAAGAATCGTCACCCCAGGATATCCCACCTGAAGAATTGTCACCCTGCCAAACTCGGGGGTGATAATTCTTCAGGTGATCCGTTGTGACGGCACGGAGTGTAAGCTCTTCCACGACCAGGAGCAGGTTCAGGTACATTCTGGAGCCGGTGCATGCCCAGTAGGGCCAGTACTTGCCAACAGTGCATAACAAAGACGTGACCGATCGCCCAAGCGGCTAACGAGCCGATCCGTGTTGAAGTAAAATTATCAGAAGGGCAGTAATATGACACCACTAATCCTCCCCCTCCCCCTACCTCCACCTGACATTGTGTCAGATCAGGTACACGAGACCCACTAATCACCCACAGCTCCATGAGAGTTGAAAATACCTGTCTTTGCTGTAACAAGACATAGTTTTAGGATAACCTCGCAATTCTAGTAACTAATACTCCTTTGTATGAACCCAAGTATTTTGTTGGCCTTGTTTCAAGCAAATACGCACTGTTGTCGTGGTTTAAAATTCCTTCTTAGCATTACTCCTAAATCTTTCTCAGTCAAATTTCTCTATATCAACATTGTTTATCTGATATCTAGTTTCTCTGTTTACATCTGCCATTTTCAGACCAAGCAAAAAATTTGTTTAGTTCTTCTTTTAGTTTTTGCAGAGTCCTTGTTAGATTTAATTACATGCCCTATTTTAGTGGACAAAGGAAGGCTATAGGTAGGAGAATAAATCGTGGTGAAGTTTACCTCCGAGATTATTATAGCCAGTAGGGTTAAGACTGAGATAAAAAAAACAAAGAGGAACAATGAACTGAAGGTAGCAAGGGAGGCGAAGTCAAACCCCAAGGGATTCTTTCAATTGTATCAAACTGAAACACGAGAAAAGATTGCACCAATACAGTCAGATACAGGCGAACTAACTGATAACGATGGAGAAATGAGCAATAATCTGAATAAATAATTTTCAACAGTTTTCACCAACGAAAATTTAAACATGATACCCGAGGTGCTGACTATATTATACAGAGGTAGTGAAGAAAATAGAATAAGTGAGATAGTAGTAACTAGTAACGATGTTAGTAAACAAATAGAGAAATTAAACCCTAATAAGTCACCAGGTCCCGATGAGATATTTGCCAGAGTATTAAAGGAATGTAAGGAAGAGCTTAGTATTCCTTGAGCAAAGTTGTTTAACATGTCCTTGATCCTTAAAAACTGATGTAGTACCAGGATAGCGAAGGGAGATATATCACTATCCTCTTACTACCGTCCAATCAGTTTAACATCAATTGTAGGCAAAATAACTGGAAGCGATAATTTCAAACTCTATTTGAAATCATCTGGAGAAGCACAAGTTGGTCAACGATTCCCAACATGGCTTCACAAGCGGACATTCATCTCTAACTCATCTATAACATTCTTTTCAGCTGTTTTCGAATCAGTGGATGCCGGGCACGACTATGATATGGTATATCTTGACTCTAGCAAAGCCTTCGACAGAGTCCCTCTGAAAGACTAATTAGAAAAGTGGAGGCTCATGATATTGGAGGATATATTATAAAATGGATTAGAGCTTGGTTACAGGACAGGTAACAGCGAGTGAGCATTAACGGCACTAAATCCGATTGGAGTAACGTCACTAGTGGAGTCCCCCAAGGCTCAGTACTTGGACCATTATTATTTATTATATACATAAACGACATAGATATCGGCGTAGACAGCAACATAAGTAAATTTGCTGATGACACTAAAATAGGGCGTGTAATTAAATCTGACAAGGACTCCGCAAAGCTACAGGAAGATCTAAACAAATTTTTCGAATGGTCTGAAAAATGACAGATGAAATTCAATGTGGACAAATATAAAGTACTTAGTCTAGGAGATGTAAATAGAGAAACTATATATATGATGAACAACGATATTATAGAGAAATCCGACTGTGAGAAAGATTTAGGAGTATTAATAAGTAGGAATCTTAAGCCAAGTAAACAATGTGTATTTGCTCGAAACAAGGCTAATAAAGCGCTTAGGTTCATACAAAGGAGTGTTAGTTACAAGTAGTCGGCTGAAAATATGGTTTGACCCCAAAAAAATTCCTACAAAAGGTTTTTCAACTGTTTATTGTAGTATCAGGTGTGCTTTTAATAACATATCAAAAGTCTACCACAGTCTTTCCAAGAGAAAGGTCTAATTTTCAAGATGGCGTCGAAGTGAGCCACCAGATCCTTAAAATGCCCATTACTCCTTCATTAT